TACCCGATCAACATAAACTTAATCTTAATTCGATAACAGGAAAACGTTATTTCACCCCTGTAACTACAACTAAAGTACTGCAAACGATACTACAATTTAAGATCATTATGATCTCGAGTGTAATAAATGTACAATAACGAGTACACAGCACTAAATCAAAAATCAAAAATTCAAAATTTTGTTACAGTACGTTCACACCAACGGCGAATGCCACGCTTTAAATCGGCGAGCAAAGCGCCGTCATTTTTGTCATTTTTCTTCATACCAACGGCGCTTTGATGGCACTTTAAAGCGGCTTGTAAAGCGGCACCAAAGCGTAACAAAGTTTGATTAAAGCGTCGGGGTCGTAATAGGTCGTAGAAAAGCTCAGAGTAAAACGGGATATTCGGCAAGAGCGCCAAAAAATTTTAAACTCTTAAAAAAATTTGGGCGCTCTGTTACGAATCGATTAAGCGCCGAAGCGTATCAAAGCTTAACAAACCGTAACAAAGCTCAGAAAAACTTGATCCAAAGCGTAGGAAAGCTTAACATAGCTCTAAAAGGTTCCTCACGCTTTGATCCCGCTTTGATCAGGCTTTGTTACGCTTGAAATCACGCTTTGAAAAGCTTTGATAAGCATTATTACGCTTTGATGCGATTATGACGCTTTAAATCAGGCTCTGATACGATTGCAAAACTCTGTTGTGCATTGTTACGCTCTGTTAAGCTCTGTCACGCATTGGAAAATGTCGAGATCGCCGATTCCATGCCGCTTTTGATCCAATGACTATATAAAGATGCAGTAGATCCATAAAACCATTGCATCTTTGACTCGAGAACACGATGGCAGAACAACGAGATCCAGAAATTCCAGATGGACCAGAGCATGACCTATCTGAAGAAGACATGACGTTTGTCGCACGGCGTGATATAGCGTGTGAAAACTTTCAAGCGTAACAAAGCCTAGCAAAGCGTTTCAATCCTTGATTAAAGCGTCTCAATTCGTTGGAAAGCTTGAGAGTCCCTCAGGAAAGTGTAACAAAGAGTGTCAGATATTGATGAAAGCGTCTGACCTCGTGTCAGATCTTCATGCCAGATCGTAGCAAATCTTGAGACATCTTAACGAAGCGTGTCAAGTGGTAACAGAACGTGAATAGACTGGGGTCCCCGCTTTGAACCAAGCTGTGTTAAGCTTTCCTACGCTTTGAGTCAAGCTTTGTTGAGCTTTGTTACGGTTTGTTAAGCTTTGATACGCTCTCGGCGCTTCAATCAATTCGTAACAGAGCGCCCAAAATTTTTAAACAGTTTAACATTTTTTGGCGCTCTTGCCGAATATCCCGCTTTACTCCGAACTTTTCTACGACCTATTACGATCCCGACGCTTTAATCAAGCTTTGTTACGCTTTGGTGCCGCTTTACAATCCACTTTAAAGCGCCATCAAAGCGCAGGGTGCGAACGCTTAAACAGTTAAAAATTTTTAGCGCTCTTGCCGAATATCCCGCTTTACCCCCGAGCTTTTCTACGACCTATTACGACCCCGACGCTTTAATTAAGCTTTGTTACGCTTTGGTGCCGCTTTACAAGCCGCTTTAAAGCGCCATCAAAGCGCCGTTGGTGTGAACGTACCATTATGTAATTAAATTAGGTACATTGTATCCCATTTTCAAAGTTTTTGATGTTCTGCCAAATGGAAGTTATTATCACGAGATGAAGATTTGTGACCCGGGTGAAAAAGATTACCTGGCCATATTGGAGGCTTCACAAAAACAGCCCTGAAGATAGTTGAATTGAACACGGATGAACCTCAAGTTGAAATTATTGACAAACAATTGGTAGAAAATATAAATGGAACATGTAAGAATCTTGGTTGCAGTGTACTTTCGTACCCAATTATAGGTAAATTCCTTCTTGGCGATGTCAGGATACCTGTATATCTACACAAAGAAGTACAGGCGTGCTTGTCTAGACTCTGTATTATCCTATGAGAAATAGATATAGAAGATGAATGGAATAAGCCATGCGTAAAGCTCAGAATTGGGACTGAACTTTGAAGATGTAGACTTTGCTTTTTGCCTCGTTGTACCAGATGAACGTCACCGGTTGCAGTCAGCAGAATCACAAAATATCGTATCGTGCTCCCAGCAGTCGCCATTGGCGTTAATCTGTCTACGGATTTCCGGAGCCGGGATTACTTGACCAGTTCCATAGACAAATCGCTATGGTTGTGAAATACATAATGCTCCTCTGTCGCACCCGTTTCAGAAATAGTTTCCGAACCGTGGTTCGACATCACCAGACATGACTTCATCAAGAGAGACATGCTCAATCTTGAGTCGACCAACAAGAGGCAGGTTGTATTCCGACACTGGAAAGGACTTCAGGCCGATGTTTGTTTGATGTAGCTCAACGCGCGATCAACCTTATAGACATATCAGAAAAAGATGACATTGTAACGGTTGGTAACAGATTGAAAAAGCTTCCTGGTGCTAATATAATGGAAAATAACGTGTTCAGCAATAACATTCCTTATCTGATGGACAAACTGTTTGCAATTGTTCTTTTCATTTGGATTGATACCCTGACGTCTAATTGGTCCACAATATATTGTGTGGACAGTGACGTCACGATTTATCGAATCATGTAAGAGTGTGTAGAAAGAAGAGTGTAGGGGCATAGATGGAAGTCTTGAGCCTCTTGTTCAGATAAATAAGCTTCAGCGACTGATATATAAACCGGATCCGATGCAGATTCTGAATCCTGAGAAAAGGAGTTGGGTAAACAAGGCCACCTAAAAGGTGAAAAACATCAAAAATCTCAACACATTTCATCATTGGCTTGTTAATGAAATAACAATGAAACATTTTCTGATTAGTTTTCCTCATCATCACTTGAACTACCTGATTCAGATGTTGTGCACATATAACCACTTTGGCATTCTTGACTTGTGAAGCTAAATCTTCTGTAACCTTTCTCCGTTTTCTAGGAGAATTTACCTGCTTCCTACATATGCAGCATGAATAGCATTTGGCCATTTTGAATAATCAACAAAAATGGCAGGCAAAATTTTCTATAAAGTTCTAAAATTCACATCGAGCATAATAAGTCTCCACCAAAATTATTCTTTGTATGCAACAATATAACATTTATGTAACTAAAGAAGCACTTATTAGAGTGGAGACTTGTTATGCTCTATGTGAAAACACTCAAAGGATTACTACCTCCAGTGAATAAAAATGTCACCCAGACTCAGCATGAAATGTCCTTTCAAAGCTTTACTTACCTCTAAATTGTACATATTGTTTAAATCAATTGTATGTATGGATCAAATAAATATATATTTACATAATCCTGGACAGAAAAATCAAAAACATTCATTCATAGCTGAGTAAATTGGAATTCATCAAGAGGGTTGCAAAATATGTGAATTTTTTTCCTTCTGGCCCCCACCCTCTTTGAAGGTCTCCATACACCGTAACATTTTTTTCTAAATTTTTTTAAAAATACTACCCAAAAATATAGACTTCAATCTATGCATTTCTGATGTTTTTTCTCCTATTCTTAAAAAAAGTTTTTTCACACTTCAATTGGGGCACTCTCTGTTGCTAGTATACCCAACTCCTTTACTATCATTTTGATTTCTCACATGTTAAAATTTGAGAACTTTTGTGTTGACCTACTAGTCCATGGTATGACTTCCGAATATGAAGGATCCGTAGCACACTATAGCGCAGCAACATTTGAAGCAATATTTATGGAGGTGCATATGTCTTGAATATTTCAAAATACCATTTGCTGAAAAAAACTTCCGGCTTTCGGGTCGAAAAATGTCTTTCATCACAAGGGGTAAAAAACGTAAATATTTTGATTCGAACTTTTATACATTTTATAAGACACAGACCGTTATTCTAAGCATATGAACAAAAATAGATTATCATAATGTAAAATGTAGATGTCGGTGTTTAATTAGTGTAATTACGCAAGTGTGTTTTTCCAGATTTTGTTTGATTTTTTAAATATGAGCCAAGCAGATTCAACAAAATTGTGTGGAATATTGAGGTAATTTATGATTCGGAACATATTAGTGTTCTTACCATTTAAAACATTTTATTACCAGAATTTTTCCATACAATCGCAAAGGGTCAAACAACAAATTATTGTTCATGTTTTATAAAACATAATACAATAACAAATAGGTAAGATTTGTATCTAATCAAATGTTACAGAGGTATTGGAATGTTCATATATTCCAAGGACATGTCTAATAATCAATTAGAGTCATATGCAATCAAACGCCTTACAATTCTTCCTCGACGTTACTGCTGGCTATCATCAAGTTTTCTGATGGTTGTTTCTTCTTTGACCTTACCGCTGGATATAATAAAATTTTAGGAAGATAATGATAACGATTTTTCTCAATTATTCATGAATTCGACCAAGTCTTGATGGTTGTTGTACAAGTAGAACATTATAGAGAAACATTACGGCCATTTTGAATAGGAATTGCAAATCATGGCAGTCGCGTTTGTCCCAAGTTGAAATACATTTAACTTTTGAATTAATAGGGTCATTAATGAATAAGTTGGGTCATTAAAGAATGAAATATATTTTACAGCTTGAAGAAAACACCTAGTTAAAAGCCCAGAAACCAGCAATAAATTTTGCTTTTTAGGCAAATGCTCTTCTTTTTCTGTTGGTTTAAAAAAACAAAATGCGTAAATGAAGTCTCAATTATGATCTTCATAGTATTTCCGATGGACTATTAAGTACCTGAGCTTTAAACAGCTCGAACAGATTACATCAGAGTTGACACTAGATCATGAAAAAATATTTTCGTCATATCAATTTATATATTTCAAGTTTTTAGCCATGCCATTGAAAGATGGCATTAGTTTGCATTAATTATCCATTCATTTTTGATAGGATTTTCAACCATACGCCATCTTTTAATCCAAGAGTTATTTAAAACATACACTAAAGTGAAAAGTGGTAATTCACTTCTTTTGATCTCTGAACTTCAAATGCTGTTTTCTACCTTTAAAACTGATATTATGGAACTACGGTCCAACTAATAAAAAATTTATACCAGCTGTATTACTTGAACAATAGTTTAAAAATGACAACTTGATGGTGTTCTCATTTTTGTAGCTACCCTGTACATGTAGCTATAAATGAGTATATTACATACCAAGTACTAATCCGAGTAGTAAAAATATATCCATCTTGATCTAAACTTGTATTTAAAGGAAGTATGCCAATCCCATATTATCTTTCAGACAATTGTTTTAAAAGACTGGTGATATCGACTGGAATGTTTGGAGGCACGTTTTCTTTATTAGATATCAGTCGCTGAAGCTTATTTATCTGAACAAGAGGATCAAGACTTCCATCTATATCCCTATATTCTTCTTTGTACACGTTCCTGCATGACTCAATGAATAGTGACGTCACTATCCCCACAAGAGATTGCAGACTATCTCGATATTGTGGACCAGTGAGCCATTCATCGGAAGACTTCAGGGTATCAATCCAAATGAAAAGAACAATAGCAAATAGTTTGTCCATCAGGTAAGGAATGTTATTGCTTAACACGTTATTTTCCACTACATTTGCATCAGGAAGATTTGTCAATCTGTTACCAACCGTTACTATGTTATCCTTTTCTGACAGGTCTATAAGGTTCATCACGCGTTGAGCTACATCAAACAAACACGAGCCCAAGGTCCCTTCCCCTGACGGAAAACAACGTGCCTTTTGGTGATCAATTTGAGATCGAGCACGTCGCTCTTGATGTAGACATGTTGCCTGGTGATGCCGAACCACGGTTTGGAAACTATAGGAGCTAAAACGGGTGCGACAGAAGCCTTCTCTATTACAGAGGAGCATTATATATTTCACCACCATAACGATGTGTCTATGGGGCTTGTTAAGTAATCCCGGCTCCGGGAATTCGTAAAAGGATTTCCGCCAGTAGCGAGTTTGAACTACTGGGAGCACGATACGACATCCGTACTTGGAAGAAGGCTCCTTGGGCCTGCTCCCTGCCAGCTCATGTTGGTCATTTGACGAATTTTGAGTGTCACTTTGAGGTTTTTGTGATTCAGCTGACTGCTGCAACCGGTGAAGGTCATCTGGTACAACGAGGCAAAAAGCAATGTCTACATCTACGGTACAAAGTTCAGCCCCCATTCTCAGCTTCACGCATGGTTTATTCCATTCATGTTCCATTTCTATTTCATCTGGGGATAATACAGAGCCATCTATATTTGACTTCTTTGTGTCTCTCCTCCCCTTGTATATCACTTTGCCCTCCTCGCTAAGCTTAGACAAGCACGCATGTACTGCTTTGTGTAGATATATCCTAATATCTCCAAGAAGGAATTTACCTCTTATTGGGTACGAAAGTACACTACAACCAAGCTTCTTACACGTGTCATTTATGTTTTCCGCCAATTGTTTGTCAATAATTTCAACTTGAGGTTTATCCCTGTTCAATTCAACAATCGCCATGGCTTTGTTTTGTGAAAGCCCCAATATGGCTAGGTAATCTTTTTCATCCGGGTCACAAATCTTCATTCCGTGATAATAACTTCCGTTTGGCAGAACTTTAAAAACCTTGAAAAAGGGGTACAAGGTACCTAGTTTATCACGTATCATGTTGACACGTTCCTCTATGTAATTCTCGTGTGTTGTCAGTTGACATGGAGTGTATCTAGAAGTTAACGTTATGTTTTTGCAGATCTCTAAGACAGCGGATAGTTTTTTCTCCTTGCACTTGCTGGTAAGTCGAGCATTTCTGTCAGGGCCACCATCGTATTTAGGCTCTGAATTCAAATCATAAAGAACCTCTTCCCCATACTCTTGATCCATTTTACATTACCAATTGTTGAAGTATTATGTATTCATCAAATGTATGCAAAATGTTTAGCAAGACTTTTTCTGTTTTGAGTCACGATATTGATTCAACGTGTAATTCTCTTTTTTCTCCAGGTATTATGCTTGTATATGCTCACTTTTCGCTTGGTCTCCAAAATAAATCCACGTGACATGTTTGTCCCCCGATTGACACTAGAGTATATTCAAGAATGAATTCTAAACAGTTCTTAGAAGTTTGAAGCATGTGTCTCTTCTTCGAAATGAAACCGATAACAATATAAAACAAACATAAATCTGTATAAATTATTACAACTTCCGTCTTAGATAAAATGATACTACTATTTATTAAGGGAGGTTACGCTGGCCATTTTAAGAGATACATGTACTGTACGTGAATGAACTTGTAGCATTATGGTCCTCTTTGAGCGATTCTCCCCCCTTCCAATATAATTCACTTGCCCAGTTGAATTTAAAAGCATGAAGACATAACTCGTAATTAGGTCCTGGAAATCCCAATTGAGAGTGGAACAGTAATCAATGTGGGTTATAATATAACGGTTTCACTTCAAAATCTCTCAAAATGTAGTTTAGCCGCCCTTATATATTATAACATTCCTTATCTGATGGACAAACTTTTTGCATTTTTTTCTTCAATTTGGATTGATACCCTGAAGTCTTCCGATGAATCGCTCACTGGTCCACAATGTCGAGATAGTCTGCAAACTCTCGTAGGAAGAGTGACGTCACTTTTTATTGAGTCATGCAGGAACGTGTACAAAGATGACTATAGGGACATAGTAGTCTTGATCCTCTTGTTCAGATAAATAGGCTTCAGCGACTGTTAAAGAAAACTGACTTCTATTTCAGTCGACATTACCAGCCTTTTATAACACTTCTCTGAAAGATAATGTTTCATTGGTATACCTAGGCTATATAGAAGCTTTGATCAAGACAGATATGTCCTTTACTTTTCCGATCGATTTGTAATTGATAGTACTATGTAATATAAATATACTCGATACTATATATAGCTACATTTACAGAGTGGCTTCAAAAATGAGAACAGCATCAAAATCGTCATTTCAAAACTATTTCCAAAACTGGCCATGGATATCATCATAACTGACTAAATACGTACATGAGATATAGTACCAAACACACGTTTTGTCGCATACTTTGTTGTACCGTAGAAATATACTATCAAAAAGTGTTTGCTCATGAGCCATATTTTAACTTTACACAATTTGTGACACCCAAATATATTTATTTAGAGATTGAAGTAATATTGACAAAATGTAAGTCAAATCAAAATATTTTACTGAATCAATTTCCCATAAAAGACCGCGTGCAGTATGGCAAGTGATTTTAGACAGTCACATCTTTTACCATGAGTACTTTCTGGCCATAAATACAATGGCTTTTATTAAAACAATATGTTTTCTTTCAACACTGTGGCTAGTCGATCTATGTGGATGCAGTCATTTATATGTAATGTATCGTGGGTGCTCGCGTACATTATAGGGAATGGGATCATTGCAAAAATATGACAGCAAATCGAGGTAAGTGATCTCAGATTTTCTACTTAACATTGTGACTTGAAATCTTGCATACATATTCAATATACATAGTCTGACAATGTGTGAAATATTCCTGTTATAGGGAAGATATTTGAAAAACATTTCGTAAACGTCAACATATATGTATAAAATGGATGCACCTATGTATCATTTGGATTCAGAACGGTAACAAATGGATGCTTTAATAAATTATACTTTTATCATGATGATTTATTTACTGATGGACAACTGGCCAGATTTTCTTTGTATACAGTGTTCGGATAAACATTCCTTATTCATTAAAGTAATTAGCCACCCCCATTACAAGTAGTCTAAAGACACCCTCATGAAAAATTGAAAATACTATATATAAACCCATGAAACAATATCCCTTTAAATTGGTCCAATCGGAATTTGCATAAACATACCAGTTTTATATTGCAAAAAGAACTGTAATTAATAGCCTACATAAAAGCATCATGATAAATAAAACATTAAAGCATATATAAAGCCTATTGTTATCGCACCCATCGCACGCCCCCCCCCCCCCTCCTGGCTACGCCTATGGATATTTTGGCAACTTTCACGTTTACCCCGCCCCCTAATAATTCTTGCGCCCCCTCTAAATATCAGACCCGTCAGGCGGTGAGGCATGGATCAGGATACCCTGACTCCCAAGCTGTGCGACTTCTGGCAACCGCTACACCTATATTCCCGGGGAAAACGCTTTTAGAAAAATTGTCAAATATGGTCGTGTGTGGGCAAACACGGAGGAAGAGGAGAGGGGTGCGTGCATTGTGTGCGACCCTTCATCAGTTGTGTACCTTATTTTTTGTATGAATTTCTTCCGAATAGTTATGCTAGAGGGGTTCTGATATTTATTTCTGTTTTCAAATGAAATAATTTCACCCTTGCCCGACTGACTTGTAGATAATGCACGAATCAAATAGCATGGAGATCAGATAATCAGATTGATTCGTATTTTCGCAATCAGATGAATTAACTTATTGTTTTCTCTGATTAAAAGGCGGTTTGAAGCTACTTTTACAGGATTTGTAAATTCGCAATCAGACTAGCTTATTTTAATATTTAGTCAGTGCAAGAGGAGGGGACTATAATGTAGAAAATTGTTTTGATTTCGACGCTAACTGAATAATTTATCACAATTGTTAAATAAGCAAACAGAAACAGGTTTAAAATGAGAATAGAGGCAGAAAAGTCTTTACATAAAATGTAATTAAAACCCGGGAATTAAAAGCAATTTTAGACTGTTAGATGATCTCTTCTGTAATCAAGGTGATGTTGGTACACTTCCGCCGTTAGAAAAACAAAGACTAAGACAAAGACTATATAGCAATTAATCCTTTTGTAATCATTAAATGTTAGATTCTTATTATTTTGTTGGACAATGTTCAGACTTCTGACCAAGATTAAATCATTTATGTTTGTATTTAAAAATAGTATTTCAATCAGACAGACGTTCTAATGAGTTAGAAAAATACATTTGTCCATTTCCTCTCAAGAAGTTTTCAAAGGTAATCAAGTCGATTTGTTTGAGTGTTTAGCATTGTTTTTCATAACTTGACGCTTCCATGAACAGAATGACTTTGAAATGAGTTTTTATAATTTTAGCTTTTATACGGACATGCTTATTGTATATTTCTATATGAACGTTGTAGTTATGTGATGTAACATCGCCCCCCCCCCCAAATAACAGGTATACAAATTTTGGTCGGAATGCATTAACTTGCAATTAAAAGCAATTTTAGACTGTTAGATGATCTCTTATGTAATCTAGGTGATGTTGGTACATTTCCGCATTTAAGAAAACAAAGACTAAAACAAAGACTATATAGCAATTAATCCTTTTGTAATCATTAAATGTTAGATTCTCATTTTTTATTGGACAATATTAAGACTTCTGTCTCCGATTGTTATGCAGGTATGTGTATAAAATCATGTGAACAACATTATCGTGGAAACTCCCATATTCATTCTCATAATGTCTTACTTCGCAAATGACATAATCCTAAACAACATATGGAAATAATAGTGCAGAACTGAGCGAAAAGAAAGGTGGAACAAATCGGATTAAGATATTTTATTTTTGGATTGCACAAAGGGCAACAGTTGAAGAACAAAAGTTAAAGGCGTTGTGAAATAGATCATGCTTTTATATGATCCCCTTCTATAGTACCATACCCTTTGCATTCGTTCGACTTCACTTCTCTAATGAGAGTTTCGTCTTCTCGTAGTTTATAATTAGACTCTGCACGCAGCGTAATAGTTCCCCTATTATCCATGTTCATGTTCTCATTTGATTTTTCATCAGTTATGACTTGGTAACATTTGCTCCGATTTTCATTACGGCGCCCGGCCGATTGAGTATCAACTGGAAAATGCCATTACAGATGAAATAAAGGACACACGGTCCTGCTCACACAGTGTAGAACCTTCAGAGGAATGTATATCCTGATTTTCAAACAAAAGTATTGGTAAATATGAGATTTATGAAAGATTAGTCGTTTGTTGTTGGTTCAGATATGATTTGTTGTAGTCAAAGGAAAAACTATGAATTTGACCTAGATTTTGACCTAGGCCTTTTAGTGTCCAAATTTTGAAGGAAAGTAGATTTTGAGGACGGCTTCTAGGGGTACCAAAATAGCGATTTTTGAGATTTCAAAATGCAATAACTTCCGAACCGGAAGTCGGATCAAAATCTGGTTTGCAGATTCGGATTCTTTGGACAATTCTACACATATTTCATAACTCATACATTGAATTGCAAGAAGTTTTTATTGTGACCTACTTTTCGGATGCCATATCTCAAAAACGGTAAGAGTGATCAAAAACAACTTGCCTGTAGGGATTAGCTTTTTTTCCAAGGAACATAATTAAAAAAACGGAGCAAAAATATTGAAGGACGACCGAGAAAATTGAAAAAAATGACAAAGTACTGGATTTGACCTAGTTCATGACCTTTGACCTAGATTAAACCTGATTCTTAAACATATGATACTGATACACGTTTGTGTTAAAAATGTCGTGGGAATTCTGCCTACAACAGTGTAAAATAAGGAAACGAGAAAAATCGTACCTTCCGGATGTTCCGACATTTTGTTACCAAAACGAACCGTTTTGGTAACCAGCGTAATCGAGTGGATCACCAGTGCTAAGCGATGCGATCCTATGTTGATTCAATGTACTTTGCGTTTACGTATACGTTTTGAAAACCCGTATTTGCTTAACCTCTCCACTATTGTGTACTTCTAACTTTGATACTGTGTGCTACTTTAATGAGGAAATAATAAAACAAATATTGAATTCTGTGATAGTTTAATATGTTTATCGTTAGATAAAAAACATATTAGAGAGTTTTCGCACCTAGTGAAAGTACAACTTATAACGTATACTTATAGGTAAACGTACAAGGTGTTTCATAATGTGGGCTTTTCGTTAGGAAAGATCTTCTCGGACTGTAATAAATACAGGTCAAAGGGATGCCATTTGTACTTTCTTGAATTGTAGCATGTTTAGTTGATCCAAATGTGTTTGTCTAGAATAAAATAGGCTCATATATAGTACATATGTTATAGAACCATCTCTTCTCAAATTGACTTTTGGAGATGCTCGTTATGAAACACCCTGTATGTCATATGTTGAGCTACTGAATGGGTCGTTTCCAGGAATTGCTAGAACCTACTGGTTTGATTGGTGTTTCAAATTGATGGTTAAACTATTTGATTGGATACTGTTCCCACTCAGCCAATTAATTTCAAAAAATGCTTGCGGTCAATTGTTCCACACACATGTAGGCAAATCTTTATACGGAGATCCAACTGTATACGTTATCATCTACGTAAATATACCGTTTTGTAAGTTCACTGAACTTATACTGATCATGAAAACATTGAAATAATCAACTTGTTTATGTAATGACTCACTTTAAAGAATCATGATTCACTTTAAAGGATCGTGTTTATAATACTCTACAACAACAAGGACACGGAAGCAAGCATTTAATTATAATGTGCATAATCTACACGTGCAGATGACAGTGCATTCACAGTCTCTAGTTGATGGAGCTTTTCTATAACGGGAATAGTTATGTTCCATTAAGTACAATTTAAAATTGATTTTAGTAAATATAATAGTTCGACATGACCCTTTAAACTATACGTATAAGTTGTACTTTCACTTATGTGCGAAATCTCTCTATTGACATAGATATTTTACCTATATATAGCGCCAGATAACATTTCGAAGAAGTCGTAGGCCTAGTACAAGTAGAAGTAGAACATTCTAGAGAAACATTACGGCCATTTTGAATAGGAATTGCACATCATGACAGTCGCGTTTGGTCTGAACCGTTAATCGTAAATCAATTGGATAACATAATAGAAACTTTCGCAACTAACTTATAGCATGTGTATTAATCCCGTTTTACGTATATCTTATGAAGCGTTTGATTACGTCATCTTACGTATAGACGACGATTTATAAGATTATCACACGTATGGACGTATAGAGCTGCGGAATAAATAATGACGTAATCAAACGATTCATAAGTTATACGTTATACGAGAATAATAAATATGCTATAAGTGAGTTGCGAAATCTGTCTCGTATCATCTAAACACATTTATAATACTGGAGTATACAAGTGCGTGGCATATAAGTGAGGTTAACCATTCCAAGGAAAAATATCAAAGATAAGAACATTACGCCCAAATGCCGAAAGTGGATCGTACTTTTGAGTTTAAGGCCATTAAGGCCATCATGGCATTTTTTAACTTTTAATCACTGCCCAAATCGAATGAAGAAAGAGACAGGATTTGAATTTTGCCCACACGCACCTGGTTTCATATGCAGATATGGGTGAGTTAAAAATAGCAAAATTTTCAAATAATTTACTTTAATGCAATAACTAAATAAAAGTATTTTAACTTAATAAAAAAAATCCATCTTTCCATCGATTCCTGGATCTGAATAATTTTCCACGCTCTGAAAAAGTCTGGATTCGAATAAAAGAACAGAAAACAATATTAAATGTGATTTCATCATTTAGTAAAAATATGTCAAGAATAGGATAAAAATGAGTATGTTTTAATAGTATAGTTTCTAAATAGCTGAAAAATGCTGACATAATAGATGTCACCCTTGTTTGTCTTTGATTTTCTAGGGCCAGACCTCCACTCACTCCAATGTTAGAAACCTGCAACAGTCACTTAATTCCATGATTTATCAAAGAGTGTTGGTTGAATCTGTCTGAAACTTGAATGGCATACTATTGGATGACCCTGTCCATGTACACGTTGTGATTAACCATGAAAATATTGGTTGTCATACGAATAAACCAAGGTTTTAATGAATTTCAGCATTGCACCAATGGAAATTTGACCCAAGTTTTTTTAAAAATGTCATGGAAAGTGATTTAAATGACAATACTGTTTAAATCAAAGCTATAATTGGAGAAAATGTGTCACTGAATCCAAATATGCTATCAAAAATAAAGAAAAGTAATTCATTAGAGGAAAAAAGTGCAAATCTCTTAAAATCTCATGTAAAAACGAGAATTAGCGAGATTTTAAAGCTATTTAGAAACTCCTCTATTGTTTACTGCATTTAAGTAACAGTTGTGAACATTGCATAATTATGCCTTTGGGTTACTAAAGTTATAATTTTAAGAAGCGAAAAATACTTATTTACATATCCTTTAAGATCCTTTATTGATTGCCTCAATCAATAGGAAATATACGTCTGCTAGTATGTTTTTGATGGTCATTTTTACTGCATGGTTTGACATGATTCCTATTTTCTTATGTTTTGCAAAGCTACAGCAGATCCAAGGTGGAAGTATTATGCAATTGAAGATGAATCTAACGATGATGATGCTGATGATGTATATGAAGATGCACTGGAGTATAGTGGTAAGTCAGGTAAATAGGCCCATCGTATATATTCATAATCGAGTTTATTCTAAATCTGACGCCACTGAAAAAAGTTAATCACGGGGGGGGGGGGGGGGGGTATCGTGATGCAACAACACCGTGTTGTCGCATCAAGATTGCCAGGCTTCCGGTGATAGATTTTCGCAAGATATTTTGTTTTCCTTTAAACCCTTTTCTAGGACGGGTTTCACGATAATCATACACGTGCAGTTAGCGCACAATCTATATAATAAAATACTATCAATGATATACATGTAGCATCATCCAGAAGCGATAAATTCACGGTTTTAGTTCCTCACTATTGATATACGTTTCTGAAAGAACGTTAAAAATGTCATATCAGATGGTCGGTAACATGTCTTGATGAACAGATACGAAAAGTGCACAGATGTCGAAAGTAAACTCTGGAAGAGGTATGGGGTGGTTAAGAACAAAACAGTTCCCCATAATTCACAATAAAAATTAACTTTTCCGTCGATTCCTGAATCTGGGCTTGTATTCGCGCATGCAAATAGCGGCTAGCGGCTACCGGATTAACCTGATTAACCTGATCTGGATTAACCGGATCAGGATCACAAGATTTTTATGCCAATATGAATCGATTTGATAATAATGCCGCTCGGTTGAATTAGAAATTAAACAGATCGTAGGTCACTGCTACATGCTTCTAAATAGGCAGGGGATCATTAACAGAAACTTAGTAAAGTTACGAATTTCTAAATTAATTGTTGTAACCATGGATATTATGACGTCACAGTTAGAGAACAATGGGTTTTACGAATTCTTAACTTTATGAAGCTTCTGTTAACACCCTATGCAGACAGAGCCTGTGGGAAATATTGGGTGCGGAGCAAATGAGCGGAGGGTGCGGAGCTAACGGTTATTTTTGAATTTAAATTTGGGATATTTCTGAAACTAAGCCGTTTTGGGACTTCAAATATACCAAGATATGTGTATTTGACACCAAATATCAATACAATTGTGAAAATAGTAGCGCAATTCATTCTATAGCGACGCATTGTGCCTTAAACCGTTCCCAGACCTATATATTTTGAAATTATCCTTTTAATACTGAGTCCCCAGCATTCATAAAAAATGGTGTTCAAGGTGCACTATCTATACAAATTATTTTTGCATCTTGGAAGCCAGCAGTATCTGTGTGATTTTATAAAAATTCGGAAATGTTCTTCAGATATGAGCCCCTCTAAATATTGGGTGCGGAATTTTTATAAAATCACACAGATACTGCCTGGCGTCCAAGATGCAAAAATAATTCGCATTGGTAGTGTATCTTGAACACCATTTTTTATGAATGCTGGGGACGCAGTATTAAAAGGATAGTCTCAAAATATATAGGTCTGGGAAATGTTTAAGGCATACTGCGTCGCTATAAAATGAATTGCACTACTATTTTCACAATTTTATTGATATTTGGTGTCAAAAACACATATCTTGGTATATTTGAAGTCCCAAAACGGCTTAGTTTCAGAAATATCCCAATTTTAAATTCAAAAATGACCGTTAGCTCCGCACCCTCCGCTCATTTGCGCCGCACCCAATATTTCCCACAGGCTCTGTCTGCATAGGGTGGTTAATGGCCCCCTGATTAACACATTATTTAGGTCAGCGACTGGGTTTGAAGCGAGAGGTGGCAGCTAACGGAATGCACGGCATTTTACATACTTAAATGAGTTTGCCCTCAAAGTGCAAAAAACTGTAGCCGCGAGTCGCTATTTGAATTCACGAATACACGACTAATTTTTCACACTCTGAAATAATCAGAATCGGATAAAAACAATATTTTTGAATTTATTATAATTTAGTAAAAACGTGTCAGGAATAGGATAAAAAAATGAGTATATTTTAATTTTTAACTGCATTTTGGTAACAGTTGTGAACATTGTATATGCTTTTTTTCCAGTGCTGCTAATAATTTAAAGAGTCGAAAATTACATATTGCAATTGTCCAATGATAGAGGCAATACATAGGCATTATACAAATATATGTTTTTGATGGTCATTTTTACTGGGATGGTAAGACATGATTCCTATTTTCTTGTGTTTTGCAAAGCTACCGCAGATCCAAGGTGGAATTATTATGCAGTTGAAGATGAATCTAACGATGATGATGCTGATGATGCATATGAAGATGCACTGGAGTATAGTGGTAAGTCAGGTAAGTCAGGTTATATAATGGGTCATTCTGTATATCGTATTTATACTCGAATGAGTATGAGCTACGCTCACTTGTGAATACATCATATACTCACAAGAGTATAAAAAACACGATATACAGAATGAACCATTATATATAAACTTATTATGCCACTCTTAGTCCAATTATAGTTGTAGCCTCATATATTATAGTATACTGTGAAAATCGGCAACTTCAGTTTACCTTTAGGTCAAAAGTTTTCCTACGACATCCGCCATTGCTGTTTTTGCAGAAGATCAATGCAGGCAGAGATATCCCGTGAACTTCTAGTACATTTAACCGATGCGCCTGCGCAGATCGCTAGTCTTCATGGGTAGAGTGTGGCTAGTTGTCACTGTGATGCACAACCACGCCATCTTCCAATAGCAATAAAAGTTTTTCTATATTGATTAGTTCCCAAAATGCACTTCTACAGTGATATACGCTAGAGTGGTATACGGTGGAGTGTATACGATGACGATATACCACTCTCCACTACATATTGTTGTTATAGACACCTGTTATACAACTATAATTTGACTTAGAGTGGTATAAATACGTTTGGTAATACGTTTGGTACGTTGGTAATTGTTTCCCGAACTTGTATGCCATTTAAAGCAGTTATTAGCAAGGTACAAAAATAAGAAAAAGATCAAGTAAATGTTATATGAGTCACATTTTATTTTTCAAAATATGAAACACTCCTTCCCCACATTGTCTACATTTTTTCAGTTTTGCACAGAGTGCACTAATGTATCTAGAAATAGTACTGTAGTTGTTTGTAAAATGTATAGTAAAAAATAGAAAATTCTGTCTGTCCTTTTGCCTGTCCGTCCGTCAACAATAGTGGCACTTTTTAAAACCTCTATCGATACGATTCCTGTTTTAAGTTATTTCTGTTCAACATCAATACAGAAAACTCCCCTATGACTCCTGGCTCAAAAGCTCGCCTATGGCCGCCAATTTTGTCTCGCGAAAATCACTTTTGGCCCATTTCCTAGCTTTACAAATAATGTCAGGTGTTCTGCATTGTAAAAATCCATGTCAATGTGGAGAAAAATTTAGTTAACATTGATTTGTCCATCTGTCTCGCGAAATCCACATTTGGACCATTTGCCTTAAAACCGTTGTCGATAGGATTCCCGTTTTAAGTTATTTTTGTTCAACATCAATACCAAAAAACTCCCCTATGACTCCTAGTTCAAAAGCTCGCCTATTTTCAAAATGGTCGCCATTTTTGTGTCGCGAAATTCACCTTTGGCCCATTTCCTAGAGCTTTACAAATAATATCAGGTGTCCTGCATTGTGAAAAGCCATGTCACTGTAAAGAGTAGTTGTATGAAATAATTTTGTTACAAAAAATCGGCAAAAAATTATATCCGTTTTTTTATTTTCAGCCATTTTAGTTAACATGATTGATTTGTCCATCTGTCTCTCAGTCAGTCCAAAAAGGCAAGTTTTAAAACCTCTGTCTGTCAACAATTAGCTCTTTTTAAATCCACTGCAGTCGATTAGATTCCCGTTTTAAAATATTTTTGTTCAACATCAATAAAAAAAACTGTGACTCATGCTTCAAAAGCTCGCCTATTTTAAAAATGGACGCCATTTTTGTCTCGTGAATTTCACTTTTGGTCCATTACCTAGCTTTACAAATAACTTCAGGTGTCCTGCATTGTAAAAAGCCACGTCTCTGTAAAGAGTAGTTGTATGAAATAATTTTGTTACAAAAAATCGGCAAAAAATTATATCCGTTTTTTTTTTATTTTCTGTCATTTTAGCCATCATTCACTTTTGAGCAACACCATGTGAGCCCAGTAGCCATGGTACTATTTTTTTTATAATTAATGTAGTCTTTGTGCAAAACTGAAATGTGTATACAAAATTCCGAACATACAGGACAACCTTAAGTGTTCAAATGATAGGTCACTTTATTTTTTTCGATCTTTTGAAAAGACACTTCCGTTACCATTTCTCTTCATAATGTAGTCCATGGATCAAGGCAATGGAATAAAAATTTAGGTAACTGATACAATTCATTGCAACTTTCTAGTAAATAAATACTTGTTTTTAATGTATTACCATTCAGAATTGCTATAATATATCAATGTAATAAAAAGTATGGCTATCAGTAAGTTTTGAATTCTCTAAACCATGGAAGTTGGACTTGTAAACATAGCCTATACATAATGTCAGTTCAGTTTATGGGTAACCCCCCTATCACACCAAACTAGTTCTCATGCGTTCTTGCCAGTCCTACGAAAACGTCGTAAAACGGGGCTGTGGTCGGGGAATATGTCTTAAATAATTTGCTACTTCGTTCATAAACAGTCTTCAATACGTCCATCTCATTCGCAGTTCGTTCAGGTCGCACCACGTCGGTGTGCATTGTGCAACGTCGTATAACGCGTCCCTTAGTCTAGAAGGTCATCATGACCTGATAACAGAACGGTATGGTCGCCATCGAATTTTGAATCGATTCAAAATTCTAAATCACGTTCCCCGTCTGGGAAAGTCAATCAAATTCGTAAACAGACCGTAGAACGTTGTAGCTACTTTCATTCCGTTCGCACACAGTTTAAAACCAGTTTTGAAGAACGAGAACATTTTTAGCATGTTCTAAATTCTAGAGGACCTACCCGTTCGAGTACGTTCGGTGAAGTTGGTAAATAGACACCAAACGGTTCTAAGTACGTCCAGTTCGTTTGTACACAGTTGAAGCCCGTTTTCGAGAACGTAGTGAGCACTAGTTTGGTGTGATAGTAGGGTAACTGTTAATCCCTGATGCATAAAACATGTATGAGGGACATAATATGTACTTATGCCATTTTGGGTAATGTTGTATCTAACCAGATTTGACTGACATCTTTATTTAGCAACAATCTTACTTGATGATCAGACAGCAAGCTAACATATTTTCCCCCAAGATTCCCCCAAACTATGGCCTTATTGGTTATGGGTTCTATTGGGTTTAGATTTTGTACCACCGAGAGACTTTAAGCAATCGCATAGGTAAAACCTATTTAAAACAACATTTTTGTTATTCAAAGACCTTGTAACAGGGATTCCAAGCCCTGTTCAACTCGAGAATACAACTCGCCATCTAGCCTTGCCCATGCAAGTCGGTATTATTTTTACATATCTGATCTTGAGTTACAATACAAATGATCAAGATAAGTAAAAGAGACCGACTTGGGCAAGGCTACTCACCATCCTTCCTTGACTTTCAGGTTGTGCCATTTTATAAATACCACAATTTCTTGACAAAGAAATATAAATTCCCAATTGTTCTTAGGGTCTGTTGTTAGCCTTTATATTTGAGTTTTAGAATCTCGATCATTAACCACTAACTGCTAAAAAGCTGACGCAAATTAATAAAATTAGATGAAATGAATTAAGTGAAATGAATCACATTTTAAAGATCCAAATGCTATTAGAAAATGAACAAAAGGGATATACGTTTGATTAATTATAAGTTATACAATTATAGAGACGGGGAGAAATGTCGTGACGGGTATACTCGTTGATGTGTCTGGTTCTATGAGGGTTTCTGTAGATGAGGACAAGGTGGTCGGTGAAGCAGAAAGCTGGTCCAGATCAACATTTACTGCAATTGACAATACTATTAAACGTGATGTCAGTTCAGTCAACCAAGTTTTTGCATTGGGATTTGGAGCGCCAAATGAACCAGTCGTTTTCGACTTGTTGAACACAGTTGAGAAAGTTCAAACATCGTTCAAATCTAAACACAAACCTAAGGACGAGGCACCCATCAAGCGATACAAATCTAAACGTGAACTCCTCAAGGAAATATGCGAGCTTTTAAAAGATAACGGTGCTCCAGAAATTTGTTCATATTCAATTATGAATGCTTTGGTTGAAGTTGTGTCAACTTTTAACGCTCAACAATTACTCGCAAACCTTAAAGAGGATGCAAAATTCAGAAAAGAGTTCGTTCAGTTGCTGCCTCGACAATGTCGTGAGGGAATACAGGAAGAAAGTCGAGATGTGGTTCGAAAGGGAATTGAACTTGCAATTCAATCGGACATTTCTAAGATAATTTCAATCCTAGAAACAGGAGGCGTCAATGTGGTACGAAATCGACTGGACCGTGATCGGCCATTACTTGATGTGATATCATTATCTGAGTCAACTCATTTCTTGAACTCTCTTGAAAACAACTGCTTTGTTAGGGACATATTTGTACATTGTATGGTTGGAGAATCTATCGAACAAAACAATGTTCCATTTATGCTACGCAAAATATTTTGGCTGGAACAGTTGGATGAAATATTTTCGATAGCAGAACAGGACGGGGTAGAAATTCGTCCCTGTGTGGATATGACAGATGTACTTCATGAAATCAATGCTAATATGGCCTTTGAAGCGATTGACTCTCTAAGAGAAAATGAAGTATACAGAAAAGGCTTTATGGATGAGTTGTTATCTGCACAAAGGAATTTGTTGCCTGAGGAATCCCTTGAGGAATTCCGTATGGAAATACAAGAAAAATACAAAAATGATCAACGAGGACTCGTCGCTCTTAAGATACTCTAAAATATCTCATCTGTTCTTGAGCAAAATGTGAATCTAATTCCAGGTCATGTTTCACTTTTTGACGAGATCGACATCTTACATAGTCGTGAAAGTCGTAATACTGCTCTTGGAGATCAAATATTTATAGATCGATTTACCCGAAGGATACACGATACATATGATCAATCCACCCATCTAGTTTCAACCACGAAGGTCGAACTTTACGTTCTTAAAATACTCTCAGATATCTTATCTGTTCTTGAGCGTAGTGTCGATCGGACACCAGGTGTTGTTCCATTTTTCGACGCGACTAAAATATTATATATGCTCGTTATGCTCGGACGTCGTTATACTGCATTTGAAAAGCGAACATTTGTACATCCCTTTACCCAAAGGATATATGATAGATATGGTCAATCCACTTATCCAGTCTCAATAATGAAAGTCGAACATTGCGTGTATGAATGGGTCCAGTCTATTCTAGAAGAAAAAATTGAGATATTGTTATCATTACTCGAAGAGAATGGTGCAAACCAGATTCGCTCTTGGACAAATATAGATGAACTGATGCAAGTCGTTGACATCACTGAGGTAGTAGTGTTACTTTCTAACCTAAAAAACAACAAACATTACCGAACAAAATTCGTGGAAAAATGTCTCCCCAAGAGTTGTCATACGCCTCGGGATAGTTTGGTTGGTGCAATAAGTCAGGTATGGAATGCCTTCATGCATTCTAATCCTGATCCCGAGATTTCTAAACCACGTGAAACTATAAATGCGGCGATAAATCTTGCTGAAACAATGTCAGAACGTAACTTGCCCGTAGATGAAGACGACCAACGTAATATTCGAAGGACTCTGAATTCATTTGCACAACTCATATTCATTGAAGAATTAACAAAGGTATTCATTGAACAAGTCCGTAGGATATCGATACGAGATCGACCAAGAGATCGAACAGATACTGGTTTTGAAAAAGATGGTGGGACAATTAGAACAAAAATAAAACTAGAAACCTTGGACGAAATCATGTCAAAATTGGAACAATATGGCGCAAACGTAAGATGGCTGCCAAAAGGATGTGGTTTACCTGATACTTTCTATGAGTCAGAGGCTAAGATAATTCTTGAAAAACTACAACAGGAAAACTCTGAACTAGGAAAAAGGCTTGTCGAAGAAGTTCTGCCCATCCGATGCCGTGAGGGAGTACACAAAGATATCGAAGACGCAGTAAACCAGGGACTTAAACTTGCTCATAAGATTACGTTGCAGAAAATATTATTGATTCTTAAATCAAATGGAGCGCCCAGGGTTCAAAAGTGGGCAGACGCAGATGAGTTGATTGGATTAGTTTCAAACTTTGAAGCTAACACTTTACTCGACAAACTTAGCAACGTGGTTGATTTTCGAAAGGTATTTGTTCACGAAATTCTGCCTGAGATATGTAGGACAGAGCCCCAAGGCATAGTATCTCAAGGTCAGGAATGCCTCGCCGAGGACCAGTCAATTAAAAATGCCAAAATCAAAGATGTAGTGAAAAGAGGATTTGAATATTTCTCAAAAGACACGTTCGAAAAAATACTAAAGATACTAGAAAACAATGGTGCACCGAGAATTCGGATGTGGGCGAAGATCAGCGTTTTGTTGGAAAATGTCGAAGATTCTGAGGCAACAGTGCTTCTCAGCACACTCGAGGAAGATTGTGATTTTAGAACAAGATTTGTACATGAATGTCTTCCAAGTGAATGCCACCCTCCCCCTACAATACTTGGTAAAATGAGAGAATATTTATTCATGATGATAAACCTGTTTGTAGCAATGCCCTCAATTCCCGAAGCCACAAATTCGGAAATACGAAATATGATAGAAAGCGGCATAAAACTTGCCTGGGGACTGAAATGTGTTTCAGGAGAACATACGATTACATATAGCGGCAACGAGGCATCGAATATACTACATGGTAGTGAATCTGCAATCGACCTAACAAATGATCGTGTTTCTGACCTCATGAAAATCGTTGAACCATTCATATATGGTGATACACCACTTATAAAGGCATCACACCATGCAGTGAGGGTATTTAGAAGACCACAATTTCAGAAGCACAAGAAGGTGCTCTTCATCATATCCGATGGTGAGCCTGCTGATGGGAAAGAATTACCCAAAGAGCTTCATGAATTAGATGTGAAAATAGTGTGCTGTTTCATTACGAATAGTGCAGATATACATAACCCACGCTGTCTGTATAGTGTGCTACCTGAAGACCGTGAGTGGGAAAGGGCAGCAAAGTTGATGTTTAAGTGGAGCTCAACGATAACAACACAAGATATACCACGAACTCTGTTTGTTAAAAGGGGATGGACTATAGATACCACAAACAACGAAACACGTTTGTTCTGCCAAGTTAATCATCCCGATATCATTGACGATGTTTGCGACCTTGTGAGGAATGTTGTTTGTTGCCAAGATGCCCTATCGGATGTTTTATCCTCTGTTTCACTCGATTTATACATCAATAGAGCCAACCAAGGGCTCGCTTTCAAAGACAGTCGCCTTTTCACGTTTGCTAATGCCTCATCTGCAGTGATGCATCTTGCTATGAAGCGCATCTTCTCCCGTGATGGCGGATATCCTGACTACATTGAATTGCGCAACGATATATTGAGAAAATATGAAGACAGTGGAGCGCCATCTTTGGATATACTTAAGAAAACCTGTGCTGAATACCGTCTTCATTGCCAACAGGTTGATGAGTTAGGGGCAATGAAAGCAGTTTCCGCAAAACGCCCAGTCTTGGCAATGTTTAAGCTTACCGAAGTCGATTGGAATGCTTTCACTAAATTTTACAAAGATCGTCCACGTGGAATCCTTACTAGATCTGATATCGATATCAGAACACATTCATCAGATGACAGTCTAGATGAACATGCCGTGGTTCTCACGAGCTACACCAGTGAGTACTTGCGATTTATGGGCTCATATGGAAGTGATTGGGCTGACAGCGGCTTTTTTAGAGTTCAGGAGGCCAGTGTCTTCGATATCAAATTTGTTGATGTATTCTGGGAAGAAGATGACCTTACAAAGTCTGAAATTGATGCATTTGCTAAAAACGGCGCCAGTGTCGCGACAAAATTGTTCGATACCTTAAAAGGCCTTAATACTGCTGACTACACTTGCCCAATATGCGAAGCTGTGTCTAAAGTGATTGATTTTTCTGGAAGACTACTTAATGCAAAGTATCCAGAATGTTCAGGAACGTTTGATGTAAATGAGGCGGGAAGTGATATTGCTCTGAACTTATATCTCACTTCACTGTCGTCGGACCAGAACGAGGCTTAGCATAATTTTGACGTTTGCCAAATCAAAAAATGAAAATGTGACAAACAAAACTGATAGTAGGTTAAGTTTTGGCTTATATAAACGCTGAAAGCACCAATGTGCATGAGGAATGACAGTGTAAAAGGGTAGGCGTTCCTATCAAATTATGGTCCTACCCTCCATTGATTTATATAGTGACCCCAATACAATTCTTTCCCTCAATATCTTATACGTAATCAGGGCCAGTAAGGGCCGTTAAGAAGGGAAACTTGTTCCATAATCCCTGGGGGACCGACCATCATTTCTTTCACACCGGGTATCGGTCAGTTAATCTCAGTAGAAACATACATGCAGATCGTCATATTAATGGGTTGAACAAGCCAATGATTGAATTACAAGTTGAATTTCAAGTTCAAGCCTGGGACTCGGGTTTTACATAATTAACTCAACTGGCTTTCGTTTGTTGTCTTCCAATCTATCTTAATTAAAATTTTCAGCTCGGCCAACTAACTTCCAATGTGTTTGCCTTAGAAGATCAAATCTGGTAGCATAATTCAACACTTTTTATCCGAATTCTCCCTTTCGCGGTTCGCTCTTTGAATCAGAACGTTCGCAAATATGTTCTGAAAAGGCACTCAAAAAGGACAAAATTTGATTGGTCAATATTTTCCCACTGTGCATTTCGCGTAGCTATTTGCGTGACCCGAAAGTTCTAAATCAAACTAATTACGCAATTTTGTTTTTACACCCGCACGCTAAGTAAAACAATGACACCATCTGAAGTATTCTTCTTTGTCATTGCTTTAATAGTCAGTATACCGAGTTTAATCAATAAAAGATTGTACAATGAACAACAAAATTCGGAAACGAGTACTATAGATTTGCTTTCGGACCACTGAACAGATTGACCTAGATAATAGCGACGCGTCTTCTTTGGTCTACTGCTCAGTTGTTTGTGGGCTTTCAACGTAACTCTATAATGTAATTTGAAGATGAATACTTTTATTCAGTTGTTGCATCGATGTTGCAGTTTGTAGTGCGGTAAGATTGGCATGAAAGTATTGAAAGTCGAATGGAATTGTTTTTCCAATATGGCGACTAGTCAACTGCATCATGGGAAATATTTTGACCTTATAAGGAAAGATTTTCGCGTCTCCTCTTTTGAAGAGGGAACAACGATTTCGAGAATTGATAGGTACCAAGCATGTATTTGATGGCTATTATTGGGCGTATTACTGATGGAATATTCTCCAGAAAGAGGCCAAGAAAGTCTCTTTTAGCTGATATATAAAGTCCCTTCCCCTTTGTTGTTCTGATATGCATATGTCAAAACATGTATATCAATATTATAAAAAGGAGTCTCTCAGAACACAAATGTATGATACATTATATGTGCTTTGAGTTGGCCTTTTAAAGCCTTGTGAATAACTGGTCAGTTTTGCATTTATTGGAAAGTAAAAACAGTTGTTTTGTGGCTTAGTAGCTGTGTGGGTTTTACAACCGCTCTTCTCTTAAATAAACATAATCATTTTGGGTATTCTTTAATTTGGCATTAACACAATAAACCATAGAATGTATATAGCTTTGAAATAAAGAACGCATTTTAGATGAAAAATAAAGGTTTTGCGTACATTGTTCCAATTTTTTAGATCGCCTAAAAATATTTCGTATGATGCAAGACTCGACATTCACCAGGAAAATAGAAACATTTGGTAACCTATGAAGCAAATTAATTTTTACTGCTTAATAAATGCATATGGTGAATGACAGTCACATTAAGTTCTAATAGTATGAGAATAGTATGACGTCTTGATATTTCCAGGTAAATCGTTTGAAAAGTGATGAAAAGAAATATACATCACATATCGAACTTTTTAAAACATAAAAAAACATGTATAAATAGTAAGGCCTGCAGGTCCAATATCCCCTAGTAGCAGTAACGTTGGTCTTGTACACTCCCCTCCATAAGTTTGGCAACCTTAGCTCCCCCATTGAACTACGTGTTAAAGCCTCTTTACCTTTGAATTTTTATTTACTTAACCTGCGATGAAAATACTTATACTCTTGATGGAAACGTAATTTGACTTTATTTCCAATACCTCCAAATTTTCTTAATTTTTTTCAATCAATAACAATAAGTCGAAAATTGATTATAAATTTGATGAATTTTTGAAAATCGACATTCCAATGTTAACCAATGGGAAATGGTAGGTTTGCCGCAAGTCATATGACAGAATATCCATCCATCCGAGTTCTTGCAAAAAATACACGTTAGATACGTCAGGCAATTGAATTTGCTAACTTTATTTAACAAGAAATTGATATGTTTCTTCAGATTCAACAAAGTTATAGGGCTTTAAAGTCAAAATTGTTTTTCAAATAACCTCTCCCATTGAAATAACACAGGAGGCGAAAAATTATTTTCAAAAATGACTTTGAAGCGCTGTAACTTTAGTATTCATCAAATAAACTAAACACTTAGCGTACAAAAAAGTTAGACAATTCAATTTTCTACATAAAAATATTTTTCCAGAATCTTTTACTGAAAAGATATCCTGATTTCTGATTTGCCCCGAACCCTCCAATTCCCATTGGATTGGGTTAACCCAACTAATTGTTATAACATGCGTATTCCCGTACAAACGATCTGTCTTCCAGAGAAAACTAAGATTTGTGGACATGTTTTGCTATCATTGCATCATACCCCATGTATGTCCTCTTTCAGTCAAAAAAGTTTGAATCAAAACTCCCCACGAAAATCAAAAGATCTCACCTGTTGAAGACGACGTCTATAGAAAATGTCAAAAAATGTAATTCTGATTGTGACAGATGGAGGCAGGTCAAAAAGGTCAATTTTTTTTAAAGAAAATGCACCTTAATCTCATCAAATCATGTGTTAGAGTTGGTCCACACATACACTTTTTCATTCATGTACTTACCAAAATCCAACCACTGATGATGCTAATGTAATTACAATAATTGGACTATATTTTTGTTTTTATAATGCCATCTATTCGATCTAATAGTTGTGTGTCTCCATTACATGGGAATGACGATTTTCAAAAATCCATCAAATTTATCATATATTTTCGACCTTTTGTAATTGAGGAAAAAAATTGAGAAAATTTGAGGTATTGGAAATGAAGTCAAGTTACGTTTCCATCAATATTATAAGTTATTTCATCGCCGGTTGAGTAAATAAAAATTCAAACGTAAAGAGGCTTTAACACGTAGTGCAATGGGGGAGCTAAGGTTGCCAAACTTATGGAGGGGAGTGTAACATATCGTGAATTTTTTGGGAGATATTGTATTTGACATCATAAGGAATAGATTGGTAGGTCAATCGTTTGTGTTGCTGGTAATTTTGTCACCTCCATAGATCTGATTCTTCCTTTAATTTACATAAACAGATGTTCAATATGTCCACCATTTTGATCAATTATAGCCCTCACTCTTTGCCTAAACCGGCCAATAGCATCATTGGTGAAAATGACGTCATTTGTATTTTAGGCGCTGGTTGACACACATTATAATAAATTTAAACTTATGATATAGCAAATTAAGATTTAACTAAATTCCCTATATCTATCCACTGGTGTATAATGTGACATGGTTTCATCAATGGACCACCCTGTATATATATCTGTAATATTCTTTGGAATAGTTTTATCTTTCGTCATCTTTTGTAAAAATCTATATTCGTTAGAGAATAGAAAAGGGTCTGCTTAAGGGGAGCACAGTCTGTTCCCATTGTTATTTCTAAATTTTGACGTAAAACTATACAGGGCGTATAAAAAACGCAACAAGTAGTTACCTCGTGAAATCACAAAACTAGTGATGACTACATCAATTTCATTCAATGTACCGTAAAGCCATGTCTCTCCTCTTTGCAATGATATGTCATTCATTCACATGTGGTAATGATTGGGTGAGAAATCCTTCCATTTGCACAGTGGGTCAAAATCGGCTCTGGACCGAGTTTTAGATATTGCAAAAATCAGTGCAAGGGCTATTAAGTACCAATGGAAGTTCCCCTGACTTAAATTGTTGTGACTTTTTCTTTTGGAGGTATCTCAGGAGCATCTTTGGTCACAATTCCTCCACCAGATATTGCAAAACCTCGAGAAAGAATTGCCCATGGACTGCTTTTCTCTGCTTTAACCCACAGGTGATTCAGGGCTGAACCATTCATGACATAGACAGATGAGCGAATCTTTATGTGCAAGGAAGTGGTGGCAATTTGGAGGGGTATAGGATGTATTCTTGCCAGAGTATGAACACTTTACTTTCTATGCCACACCTGTCACACCTTCTTCAAATAGCACCTATGCCCCCTATACTGACTTTTGCAATGTTTAAAACTTGGGTCCGAGCTGAATTTTGCCCCACTTTGCAAAATTAATGATTATTCGGCCAGCCATGACTCCCTGTGAATGAATGATATTCCATTGCAAAGAGGAGTAATTTGGCTTTTTGGTACATTGAATGAAAAGGATGCAGTCAGCATTGGTTTTATGTTTTCTTCCAATATTGCATCGGGCTCCGAACACTGACTTTTGCGATGTTTATAACTTGGTCCCAAGCTAATTTTGGCCCACCTTGCAAATGGAATGATTACTCGCCCAACCATGACCTAATATCAATGAATGATATACCATTTTAAAGAGGAGACACGTGGCTTAATGGTGCATTGAATGAAATCAATGTTGTCATCACTGGTTTTGTGCTTTTCCGAGATAGCAATCTGTTGCGTTTTTTCTAAACTTTACAAATAATATTGTCAAGCTTAAAACTCACAAAGTTGTATTGCAATGAGATAAATATATTTTATCGTGTTGATCACTAGAAAAGAAAGCCCTGTTTGAATTACAATTTACATATTGTAGACCTGTAGCCTGTCATTATCAGTTTAATGATTCCAAATATTTCCTCTTTAATTTTTTTATGAGGTATTGATGTGTAAAGTGTAGAAAAGTCCCAAGTTGAAATACATTTAACTTTTGAACAAATTGGGTCATTAATGAGTAAGTTGGGTCATTAAAGGATGAAATATCTTTTAAAGCTTGAAGAAAACAC